GAGTCATTGCAAGGAGTCATGAGAGCCATTGCAAGTTGCAAGGAGCCAAGTGCATGGAGTCAAGTGCAAGTCGCAAGTGCACGGAGTTAAGTGCAAGTTGCAAGTGCAAGGAGCCAAGTGCAAGGAGCCAAGTGCAAGGAGCCAAGTGCATGGAGTCAAGTGCAAGTTGCAAGTGCAAGTTGCAAGTGCAAGGAGTCAAGTGCAAGTTGCAAGTGCAAGGAGTCAAGTGCAAGTTGCAATCCTTGCCATGACTCCTTGCAATGACTCCTTGCAATGACTCCTTGCAATGACTCCTTGCAATGACTCCTTGCAATGACTCCTTGCAATGACTCCTTGCAATGACTCCTTGCAATGACTCCTTGCAATGACTCCTTGCAATGACTCCTTGCATGACTCCTTGCAATGACTCCTTGCAATGACTCCTTGCAATGACTCCTTGCAATGACTCCTTGCAATGACTCCTTGCAATGACTCCTTGCAATGACTCCTTGCAATGACTCCTTGCAATGACTCCTTGCAATGACTCCTTGCAATGACTCCTTGCATGAATGACTCCTTGCAATGACTCCTTGCAATGACTCCTTGCAATGACTCCTTGCAATGACTTTCATGATGATGATTCCTTGCAATGACTCCTTGCAATGACTCCTTGCAATGACTCCTTGCAATGACTCCTTGCAATGACTTTCATGATGATGATTCCTTGCAATGACACCTTATAATGACTCTCATGAGAACAACTCAAGTGAACCCAGCGGAAGAACCCTTCGCCATGCTTTCGGGAACAAGACAAACAACACAACAACAAACAAAATCAAAAACAAAAAACAAAAAACGAAACAAACAAAACAACAACAAACAAAAGCAAAAAGCAAAACAAAACAAACCAAACCAAAACAAACAAACAAACACACAAACAAGCACACAAACAAGCACACAAACAATCAAACAAACAACCAAACACACACACACAAACACACAAACACACCAACACACCTACACACCAACACACAAACACACCAATACACAAACACACAAACAAACAAACAAACAAACAACAAACAAAACAATCAAACAAACAAACAAACAAATGAACAAGCACAAGCACACAAAACACCTAAACAAACAAACCAACAAACCAACAAACAAACAAACAAATAAAAAAACATGCAAGCAAGCAAGCAAGCAAACAAACAAACAAGCACACAAGCACACAAGCACACAAACACACAAACAAACAAACCAACAAACCAACAAACACACACACAAACACACAAACCCGCAATTACACAAACACACACACAAGCACACAAACACACAAACCCACAATCACACGAACACACAAACGCAGAAACAAACAAACATACGGACAGACAGACAGACAAACAAACAAGCAAACAAACAAACAAACAAACAAACACACAAACACACAAACAACCAAACCAACACACAAACAAACCAACTCACCAACAAACACACAACACACACAAACACTCAAACAAACCAACAACCAACCAACCAACCAACCAAACAAACAAACAAAAAAACAAACAACCGACAAACCAAACAATGAAACAAACAAACAAAACAAGACAAAAAGACAAACACACAACCAACCAAACAAACAAACAAACAACCAATCAAACAAACAAACAAACAAACAAACAAGCAAACAAACAAGCACACAAGCAAAAAAACAATCAAACAAACAAACAAACAAACAAACAAACAAACAAACAAACAAACCAACAAACAAACAACCAACCACACACACAAACACACCAACACACAAACACACAAACAAACAAAAAACATAGGAACAAACAAAAACACAAACAAACAAACAAACAAACAAACAAACAAACAAACAAACAAACAAACAACAATCACGCAAGCAAGCAAGCAAGCAAGCAAACAAACAAGCAACCAATCAAGCAAACAAGCAAACAAACACACAAAGCACACACCACGCACCCACCCACCCGCCAACACACACACACACACTCACGCACACCCACGAACCCACCTACGCGCCCGCCCACCGACCCACCTACCCTCCCATCTACGCACGCACGCACCCGCGCACACACCCACGCACGCACGCACTCACGCACTCACGCACCCAGACACACACACATTCACACACATTCACACACACACACACATTCACACACATTGACACACATTCACACGCATTGACACGCATTCACTTGCATTCACACACACACATTCACGCACGCACATTCACACATGCACATTCACACACATTCACACACGCAACACAGCACAGCAGAGCACAGCACAGCACAACACAGCACAACACAACATAACAGAACAGAACACAACACAACACAACATAACAAAACCAAACACAACACAGCACAACACACAACAGACACAACACACAACACAACACACACACACACACAACACACTCAACACACACACGCAACACACACACAACACACACACACGCTTTTTCATGCGGTAAGAGTCATTTTGTTTCCGCTAATCAGCTGAGGAAGCTTTGTTGCCCTAAGGGAACTGACCAATGCTGATAGGGTGATCGGCCTAGTGTTTCAGGTTTGGTTTCTTTTTCGTTCTTCATGTTCTGCTTGGAGAGTTCCGCCAACCCCAGCCGGTCCCAAGCATGTCCGCTACGTACTTGTAAAGAAGCAGCAACTTTTTCACAACTTGGGCGCGGTATGGCTTGGGGTAGCAGAAATCCGGTAAAACTTCTTAGATCTTGGTTGTTGGTAGTGAGAGGATGGCCACGTGAAGGATTTTCAAAATGGCAAGACCCTTTTTGGCTTGTGGTTCCCAACCTGACAGACATGTGTGGCTTACTGGCTTCTCAAGCAACCGCACTTGGAACAAGCGAGTAGTCCTTGCACTACTCATTGCCATCTTGCCTCCGTTGTACCGGGGAAGGTCAAACAATCATTTGACCCATGCAGTCTCCTTGAGAGCACCTTCGGGGCCGTGAGATACGATATTTCACCAATGCTTAGAGGTCCATTTGGATGCAACCCTGAGGGCTAACCCCCCAGCCAGTTCCCGGCTGTTGGCTTGCAGCGGGCCCAAGCAAAGCATGGAGTTCTGGATTGCATCAGTTTGATTTCGGCACCCCAATTGTGACCCTACAAACAAATGACATGGTTGGCAGAACTGGCGGGAGCCTGGGCGGTTTGCGCAGCTTCAAGTCTAGTCTGAGGTAGCTTCGGTGCGCAGCGAGTGGTACGATGCTGGGGTGCTGGAGGACTCGGAGGCCCGGGGCCGGCGGAGACTACAGATTCCTGGAGGGGTATTTGCTTTGAGGACAGTCTGTGGAGTCAGTCCTGTGTCTGCACTTGCCAGTCACGTGTGGACAAAACTGCCGCAAAAGGCTGTCAAGTGATGCTTTTCTTTTTGAAACCGCCATCAGGCGTATCCCATCTTAGGACATGCCCAGCCCATTGTGACTAATGTTCAGAATTGGAGGAAGCAAGGAAGTGCCTATTCGTTTGTTGCTGAGTCGCCACGGGCCCAGATGGGCAGGAGAGGGCAAGGTCAGGGAAGGGGAGGTGTCAACACTGGATGGGGAGTGAACAACACGGCCAGATCAGCATGGAGAACAAAGGTGCCCATGTGAGGGTCCCAGCCCAAACCTTTTTTCTGGCAGGCTGCATATCGCTTTGGTTTGTTGGGTGTATCCCTGGCGGATTTTGAATGAATCTCATTTTGGGTTTGTGTCATGGTTTCTGTTGAACAGCTACAATGATATTGTCACATACTTGGCTGCTCGGGGTGGCTAGCAAGGTTGGCAACCCATGGTTGACTCCCAATAAATTAATCTTGTTTCGAACTTCTTGTTCTCCTCTAGCAAGCCTCCTAAGGTCTCAGGCCCGATTCACTCCTGACAGCCTAAGCCCAGACAGCGTCCACGAGATGCCTCCTAGATGTGGATGTGGCCAATTGTTGCCGACGAGCTCCCTCTAGAATTTTCACAACATTCTCATCATCGATTGTTCAAAGCCTTTGGGCATGAGTTGAACCACCCAAAATGTTGATTCCATGTGGGATTCTAGCTCAGACACGGTCATGGAAACAATGGGTTCACGCAGGGTTACAAATGGCCTCTCCCAAAAATTCCCACGGAGCCGTCGAGGCCAGCTCCCAGCGGTCCACCCTGCAGGCGAGTGCTCCTTGGGCGGGGACAATGAAGCATGAAGTTTGCTTGGGGAATGTCAACAAAAAGCGGCTTAGTCAAGAGATGCTAAACGCAGACACTACGTGAACAGCCAACTAACAACACAGGTAGGCCACTGCGCATCCACTTATTTGTAGCGAGCTCACCTTGCGGGGGGGGGGGAGCGAGCGCGGCCCGTGATGAAGGACCCTTCGAAGAGTCCTTTATTCAGTTTTGGAATCGGCTAGCATTTTGCAGGCATCTTAAAGAATACCGACATGTGGGGTGTGTCAAGCTTATTGTTTGGGGCAATCCCCCCAGCAGGCGGCAAGGATATATCAGCCAGAATAGGCCTCATTGTGAGCTTGGGCGGCGGGGAAGGGGGGGGATTCGGGGCTTCTCCCTCAGTTCCCCAATCTACAACTCGGCTGGAGCACGCACGTGTGCATTTTTTTTCTGGAAACAAACAGATTGAAGCATATTTCCCAATCTGGTATTTCCTCAGGTGGGTGCCGAACCATAAAACAGTTGAAGCATGTACCCCAGGTTCTCAGGGCCAGTGCAGTAACACGTCACCAGGATGGCCCAAAAGGGAATTGTGAACAGACTTGATCTTCTGACACCACGTGCACCCTCCACCATCTGGCACATTCTTCTTTTTCTTCCCAGTCCTCCCTCGAATTTGACCATAATCTTTTCTTTTTCTTTTTTCTGACCCCAATCAGCCCGATAACCAAGATCATCTCTTGATCCGTGCGGCCTCGCAGGCGCAGCCGATGTTTGGGCCGCCATCTTAGAGACATTCCGTCGAGACAATCTCCCCGAGCGAGGCCCATGGGCTCATAGGCTCAGAGACTTGAAGCCAACGAATTTGGAATGGGCTGACCGGAAAGCAAGCGCAGGACACATGGTTTGATTCCTTGGCAGCATTGTCTGACGGAGCTCCCTATGTGACAAAGGGCTAAGCTCGCTGGACAATTCCACGCGCATGTCGCCAGTAATCCTATGCTAGCTCCAGAGGGATGCAGATCTGAACAGCGCAGCGCCTGAGCCGGCACGAACTCTATTTGATTTCACCGTGGTTTTTACAGAAGTTACGGAGAACCGCAATGGATAGTCTCAAGTCCACCAACAACCCCCTCTTGCTGATGCAATGCTTTTTGCTCCACAGGGCGGCATGCTTGGCGCAGAGACCAGTGTTGCGGGTGCAGCTGAATGGGTAGTGCCCAGCCCCCCTGATGATCATCTTGGTGTTACATTTTAGTTCTGAGTGCTGTGATTCAGGAAACTCGCTCCCAGCTGCTGTTTCCTTGAGCGCCAGCAACCCTTTTTTGATTGAACTGCGACGATTGTTAGTGGAATTGGATACACTTTAGATAGTAGAACTTCGCCGACCACCAGGGAGCTTCCTGAAGCTTTAATGTATGACGCTTTGGCTGGTGCGTCATTCAATCTTATCGAAGATGTTGGAGATACCACGGTGCTGTTCAAGGTGCTCGTTGGTTTTCGTTGAGTTTACTAGACCTCCTTGTCGAGGGGCCTTGTGAGAGGAAAGAACTACCTCTTTGAAGGTCAATGTACGACAAACTGTTCCTCTTACTGAGCACATTGTGCTCCAGCCACGTTTGATCATGGTGACTCGCGCGTGACCCAGTGGTCACTGCGAGTTTGCATAGTGTGGAACCACCCGAGCCGCTTGTGCGATGCGCGCATTTTCTTGTGTGGCATTAAGAAGGGGCTTGGTGCCGCTCGAGCGGAAATAATCACGCGTTCCATGGTTGATAGCTGCTGGCGTCAACATGTTTTAGTTCCATTGGTGCAGTGAATGCGCATTGCAAGCGCAGAGGACGTGCGACTGACTACTAGCTTTGTTTGGTGGATCCCGGCCCTTCGTGGCCCAGGAAGATGTTGCACCAACTTCTCATTCATGCTGGTCGCCATTCATCTATCCGCTTGGGATCCAAGGATGGAACTTTCACTTTTAAGCTAGGGATGCAAGGTGATATTGATTACAACGTGGGTGACGTTTACATGGTGTGGTCGTCTTTGACAGTAGCCATGTGCCTTGGAGCACGCGGCCAAGTGTTTGGGTCAGGCGCCAAAAGTTTTTGTGAAGCAGCCCAAGGCGGATGACCGGTGGGACCCTGTGGAGATTCTTGTTCCATGGGTAATGAAAACAACAACATCAACATGCTGTAAACAACATGTTTGTTGAAGCGTCCTGTCAAGGAAAGGTAGGTCACGGTAGGTCCCTCTAAAGGGCCATGTGACTGGATCCGTTTCGAGCGGAGGTCGGCAGCTACGCCCACCGGAGGCTGAGACGGGTTCGGAATCCTGTGAGCTGAGAGGCTGAGAGGTTCTAAGTGGCCAACCGGTATGTTGGTATGTTGCGCCGTTTTCTCAAAGATGCCGCAGGATGCATGTGGTTTGGTGATTATCTTTTGAGCCCGTCGGCAGGTCTAAAGCTCAGCTTTGCATGGGGAGCCCATTAGGTTGGCAGTTTCCGAGGTGAGCTACTTCAACTCAACTTATGCTGCCTCCAGACAGTTGCATTTAGGTATCGATGCTTCTACACGTTTTATGAATCAAGTAGGTTTATTAGCCTAGCTGCATACAGTACACATACACAAATCTTAACTAGCTTGTAGTTACTGCCAGCAGTACACTCTAAATTGTGGAAGCACGAAGAGCAAGGTTAGCAAAGTGATGGGCAATGCCTGCAGCACGGCAGTTACATTCAAACCTGCTTCGGGGTCGTGTTTCCCGGCTTCCCACGTTGTGGCAGTTGGATGTGCGAGTCGTTTAGTGACCAACTTGCTGGAGTGTAGCCAGTACGTAAAACTGCAGTGGTCTAATCATTCAGTAGTATTTTTGGGTCACGACTTGCACGACTTCCATTCGATTCCCACCAACAAACGCTCAGGGCCCATCAAATATGGCTGAAGTCGGGTGGAGCCGGAGCCAAGAGGATTCAAGGCCCTTCAAGGCACTCTGATTCAACAAGCCGTGGTTGCACATCTTTCACTTACGCTGGGATGTCCCCCCGTTGTTTGTTCTTCTTGCCGGCACCTCTGCAGAGACTTGCAGGTGGAGCTTGCATGGTGGAGAGTTTCACTGTGTGAAGCCCCAGCTTCTTCGGACATCGTGAACCCTTGAAGTGGTCTACATGCCTCGATTTGCCCAGCCTACTTAATCCGCACACTGCTCTTGCAGGAGTTGACCAACAATTTTGCCAGCCTGCTGTTGCGCAGGCCAAACTAATGGGCTCCCTATGCAAAGCTGAGCTTCAATGCCTTGCAGCAGGGCAGGTACACTCAAACCTGCTTGGGTCGTTTTTGCCGGTTGTGGCAGTTGGATGTGCGAGGCGTTTAGTGACCAACTTGCCGGAGTGCAGCCAGTACGTAAAACCTGCCGTTGGCCGCTGAAGGGTGCTGCAGAGTGTTGAATCAGCAAGCACAACGTGCTTTTAAGCTTGTTTGTGTGTGTGTGTGTGTATCATTGGTCATGTTCTTGCATTAGCATTCATGGTTTTCAAGACGTGCTGTTTGGGGTCTATGCTGGTGGTATTGATTCAGATTTCATCAATCTGAATCATTCCATCCAATTTGCGGCATAGTATATCTGGGCCATTTGCATACTTTCACCCCGGTGCGGAACGTTGAGGCAATTCACCCAAAGACGTTTGTGTTTGGCCATTGACCTACAAATAGGGAAAAAGGCAGAGCAAAGGCGTGCACCATCGAGGTTACACCCACGCCAAGCTTTCCCGGCCGAGCCACCATTGGAGAGGAGGTGGGGTGGGGCAGTGTGAGAAAGCAAATCAGAAGGAATCTCCCGATGTGGCTGTGGGTCAAACCATTTTGGGGTAGGTTCACCACCCATTTTAGTCTATTTTAGTGGGGATTGGGATGTTCACTGGGGGTACGGGATTTTATGCAATGGTGGATTTCTGACCTTAAGGCCTCCAGGTGTACCCTTGTTTGTGGCTCTCCAGGACTTTGCTAGCTTTTTGTTGTTTAACAAGAGGGTTAGAACTTCGGGGGCAACTTGAGTCAACTTGAGGCTGGCCATTGTGACATGCAAGAGGGCTTCCAGTCTTCAAGCCAGCGCTTGAGGTTGCAGTTACCGCTCATTGTGCTTTGGAAATTTGAAGTTGGTTTTGTTGTTCATTCAGTTTTGTCCGCTTGAGTATGATTGCTGAAGCTTTATGCCTTACTGGATGGTTCGCTTACCTCGTAGGCAACCAGACGGCGCCTAAACTGACGCGTGGAGCTTTGCTCATGCTTACTTGCCCAAAGGCATTCAGTGACTTTTGCCTCGGGTTTGTGGGAATGAGGTAATTCCCACACCTGTCATCACAGGACCTCCCCCTGGTAGTCCGCTCAAGTAACTGGGGTTTCCAAACGGAAGCGCAGCATTCTCTCACTCGCCTGTTCTGGTTGGTCAGCTGTGCTCCGTTCGCTAGCAACCCAGCCGCACCTCCCCAAGTCTTGTTCCCCTGATCTTCCTTTTCATCAGGAAATGCCAAGACCCCTTGTTTGTGTTTCTGAAAAGAGGACACAATGCAACTGGCCATTGGTTTCGGGGTCAGCATGCCGAGCTGGCCTCACACTCCCAAAGCTTTCCCGGACTACCAGGTGCTGAAGCCTGAGGCTCCCGGGGCGAACAAAGCTTCATGGGCAGCAGGGATGGGCTACAGGCGACCTGATGCATTGGACACCGTAGAGCTTGATGCTCTGGACAAATCGAATCCGGTTTGAACTTCGCCTTGATCAAGAAAGGAAGATGTTTCAACAACCATGGGGTTTTGCCTCACTCAACTGCGGGACCGGATCTGAATCTGACCTTTTGATTGCCCCTTTTGGGCGATCATGTTAGTCGGGGCCCGCTGTATCCGTATTCCCGGTGTTCCCGGTGAGCAGCCGTACAGCTTGTGATAGATGTCGCGCATGAACTGCGTGCGGTCAAGCCCAGTCTTCTTCCAATCACTAGACGTTGTGCGGGTGCTTGGCGAGATAAGTTTGCTTAAGTGGTTGTGGTGCATAGCGTGGCTTGGGGCTGCAGGTGCTTGACGGCACTGTCCGGAATAGCATGGGGGCCCTCTTACCATGGTGGCCGATGGATACTGACCCTATGCGTGCCTAGTGTTTGAGGTGTTTTTCTGGTTGAGTCCAGACCTACAAATCACACTTGAATTGATGTCCAACTTCTGGGGAGCTCATTTTGGGGCAAGACGACCTTGCCAATCAAGCAATCCCATTTATGAGGGCTAGCTTCAGCAGGTAGAGTTTGATTGGCGAGGACCCCAGATGGACAATCTCCAAGATAGCTGGCTTCGTTGTTTCTGGGGTGAGGGGTACTTTGGGCCAGGAGATTTGTTCGCTCCTTGACGCTTCCTTCTGTCGACATCAGCATTGCCATAAACCACCCGGATCAACCAGTTAGCCAGTTGTGGCTGCCACTTTGCCCTTTCACATGTGCTTTGCGAATTATCCACTTGAATTTAGACGGACCTTGTCACAACCTGTGAATGGGGTCATTGCTTCGTGTCTTCTGGCGCAAACACAAGCTATCGTCAACAGCGGCATTGCTCCTTCAGTTGGCAGTTTTCGGGCCATGTCTTTCACTCGTCTGTGCATTTTGGCATTTGTGTTTTTGCCCTTCACTAGTGCAGCAGCATAATTTAATAGCTAAAGGTGAGCTATTCAGCTTCCTTCGTTCGAAATTTCAAGAGGAAAACGGGACCTTTTGTAATGCCTTAAAATAGACATACGTGGCAGCTTCCAAGTGGCAGCTTCAGCTCGCTCTGTAGGAGCTGACCGTGTCCTGGTCGGAGCTTGCTCTGAACAACGGGCTGGTCTCCACGCAGGAGTGGGAATCCAATCACAAGACCCAGGGTGTGGAAGAAAAAAGTGACACAAGCGGCGGCTGACGGCTGAAAATGAAGAGACGGCACCCCAACAAAGGGTTCCCGAAAGGGAACTCCTCGAAATTTGTGTGTGTTCAAACGCTTGTTTTTGGCATGCTGTGTGAATGGTAACGCATTTTCCTTTTCGGGTTCCTCCTGTAAATGTGATCTTGACCTAAATGAGGTCTGTCAAGCTCAAGTATGTTCGTGTTGAGCGTTTTGCTGTTATACGTGCTCCCAGCTACCCAATTAAGTTGAGGTTAGCAAGGGCCCTTTTGGTTTTTTACATGGATTTGGGTAAATACACCAATCTACGAACACATTTTGGTCATGACTCAGTTGAGTAGAACTCACTGGGCACTTAGTAAACCCATTAGCCACGGACGAAAGTGTGGCACCGTCAATGGTTCATGCCTTTCTGAATGAATCACTCGTAGGTTGCTTGGCTTTTCTCCAACCCCCCTCTCTTTATTTCGCAGACCCTTTTGTCTGGGACCCACTTAAAGTGAGCAAGCACAACAGGGCATAAGCCTGTTTTGTTCCATGCCAAGTTGGCGACTGAATATTTTTGTCGGCAAAGCACCCTTAGCCTTGCAAGGGCCTTCAAACACCACGCCCTCCATCATTTACCTGAAAGGAGAATTGGTCACCGTCTTTTCTCTTCCAATATGGAAGTTCCGTATTGTTTCCCGTAGCTTCCTGCGTTGGCCGTGACTCCATGATTATTTTGGCCGTTTTAGTTGGGGGTTATCAAAGTCAGAAACTGTCTCCTGGGTTCTTTCCCAAAAGGATATTCCTCCTCAACTGGGTGTTTGATGGACCTCTTCTGGATTTCCTGAGATCTTGGTGAGTCGTGCCCACCAATCTCGGAGGTGTACAGAACCCTTCTGGAAGAGATGGGGTTTTGCCTGACGCCATGGTATGGTTGTTTGGCCTATGCGTTCGGACCATGACCTCTTGGGCCAGGTTTAGTTGATTCTTTTGGTGGTGGAGCGGAGTGAAGCGGCCGGGCGGGCGTTTGGCGCTCATGAACCGAAGCCCGGTACCCAAGTGACCCACCTTGGAGGGGAATCGGGAAGGTCCCCAGCCCACGTTCGGTTTGATTCTTCGATTTTAGCTCTTCTGGCCCAGCAATACAAGCTCCGAGCGGCTCAAGTCCCCGAAGAAGATCTCCCTAAAGCCATTCATGGCGCTGGTTTCGTTGATTCTTTTGGTGGGTGATTGAAACGTCCAAGACGCCTCTAAGGAAAGACCTTCCCTTTGGAGGGCTCCACTCCCGTGCGCAGGCGCCCTCGCAACGATCTTCCAGCTCCATGCCAACGGCCCTGGGGCCCAGGGGCCGACTTGTGCTTTCTGTTGATCAGGTAAATGGGAAACTTTCTATATTCAATTGGCTTCAAGTCAGCTGGGCAGTCAAAGGTCAGGCACTTTGGTGCTCAACCAGAAGCTGGGGGTTTACTCTGAGTTCCTGAGTTGGAGTACACTGGATGTCCGTGCCTACGCTTTCCAGGAGGCTTCAACTCCTGCACCTCGCCATTCCAACCAATTTTCTGACTTTTCCTCGTGTCCAGTATGCGACCAGCTGCAAGCCACTGCAGCAGGCGGCGGTTGTAATAGCAAGACTCTCGGAGGAACTGACCTGCCCATTTGCTTATATCGGTTGCTTGTCAGTCAGCTCGTTTACCCTTTGAGAAAAACCGGACATTAAATGTTCGCGCTTGTTGTTCTTGTGATCCAGATTGTCACTCACGTGAACTGCCTGTTTTCTCAGAACTCTCCACACTGAACGTCATGTTTTAACCTTTAAATCCTCGACAGTCATGCAGCCCAAAGTACTTCGCCAACTGCTACGTTTGCATTGTACAGCTTCCCGAGGGTGACAACCCCGGCATCCGAAAGTGATAAAACGGACGACGCCAGCTTTCTAACCTGGTGGTTTGGCCTTGAAGAGGCTCTAAGCCAGATTCTAGTTTCGCTGTCAACTGCTACAAGAGGGATCAACTTTGCTTCTAGCTCTGAGATTAGTCCTGAAATGCCTATCTATATCTTTGGGAAGCGCGGGTTGACATGGCTGGTTGGCTACAATGCCCGACCTAGACAGCTGTCGACCAAAGCTCACAGATAGCTGACAGGCCAGACTCGATGGTCACAGACAAGGCATGGAGGAGCCAGCGTTTGCCAGTGGCACGCAGGCAAGTGCACTCGGGATTTTCCATAGCTGCAAATTGTGTCCGTAGTTTCTTTTCATTGACAGTTGCTCTTGGGGACACCAAGTCCCAGGGTGCCTGCAGCTTTCCGCCCGCTCAGGCCTCTGAGGCAGGTTGCGGTGGGACCGGTCGCTGTGGCTCAGTTGGGAGAAGGCTTCAGGACTTGGGGCATGGTTGTCATGCACATGGAAGCATAGCTTGGATCCTGAAAAAGCGTGCTCAGCCTGTGAACCACGAAAATAGTGCTGTAGATGCGACAACAGTACTGGAGCTCTAGGCAAGGGACAAACACAAGGTCCAATTTTAAAGTCATCGGCCTTTGAGTTTAGCAGCTTTGTTCCAAGTTCAGCCTTTCCTCTCATCACAGTTCTCGAGTAACTGAGATTGATATACCGAATTTGGGACCGATTCAACAAAAGGCCCATAGGTTCATAGGCTCAGAGACTTGAAGCCAACGAACTTGGAATAAGCCAACAGGAAAGCCAGCGCAGGACTGGTTGGACTCCTTGGCAGAATCTGACAGAGCCCCGTAAACCGCCGCGTGCGCAGGCGTTGACCTGGAGCTCGCCGGCGGGGGCCGGGCGGCCGCTGGGGCCGTTGCGCGGGTTGTTTGCCGAGTCCCGCCTTTGGGAAGCATACCTCAGTTGCCCAACGAATGCAGAAATAAAAGGTCAACCTTTTGGGGTCATGACTGAACATGGACCAAAATGGGGAAACCAAAAGGTCAAAGGTTGGCTTTGGGCAACTGAGATAAGCATAGAAAGTGCCTTTGAACATGGATTATTCTCAGCCCAAAGGCTGCGGGGGATTGAGGAAGCAATCACTGAAGTTTTTGGAGTCATGCCATAGAACATCCATTAGAGCTCAGTCACATGGAGCAAACCTAATATTAATGATTATGTTGCTCGTCACCCCCTATCAACCACGATACTGACCACCACAAGGAGGAAGAGCTCCAAAATCATGTGTTCGTCCCAGACTGACATGGAAAGCAACATGATTGCTCAACCCTGCACAACATGTGTGCCTCCGGAATTATAATGTCAATTTCATTGGACACATCTGGTCTGACAGTCGGATTCTCATGACCATTCGGCCTTTTTACGTAGCCTGCTCATTCAAGCAAATCTCATCTTTCCACCATAACTGACCACCATGAGCATGCAGGAAAGAAGGCGCGCTCGCTCATGAAAAGACTCGCAGGCAACAGCCTTTCCTCACTTTTATGCCTTGGCAGACTCGCACATTTGATGCCAGACTTATTCAACCTACGCTTTCTTGGTGCAAGCCGAAGCTTCTTGAGCCCGCACAGTTACATGCCGCTTTGGTCTCCATGACTTGGAATGTTGCTAAATGAGAAGCCCGAAAGAAAGCAGCCATGTCAGTATATGCACTATCATGGGAGAGTTTATTGCCACAAGGGTGAGAGACAAACCCTTCGGCTCCCATCGGCGTCTGGGCAAAACGCCCCATTTGCAAATGTCATCAAGTCGGGCACGGAGAGGGACCCTGTGTCAAACTTGTGCAGAGTTGACGTTCTATTTTTGACTCCAATTTTGATGCGCCCGATGCCTTAGCCTTCCAGAAACGCTGGGTGTCAGATATTGGAACCCTTCAGATGGAATTTTGGTTTTTGCGAAGGCCGTGGCTAAACGTGCTATCGGGAAATTGTGGCTCGGCGTGCACGCTGCTGCTCCCGAACAACATCATTAAACATGGTGTCCACTTCGGGCATTGTGTTCGGCCAGCGCGCGGTGGCAGCCACCTTGAAGGAGGGGATTCAGCCCACATCAAGCTGGCGAAGCAGTCCGAAGCCAATGCGGCATCCATGGCGAGGTTGCTCGAGGGCATGACCCAGCATAAAGATCGAGCACTCCGATTTGGACGAGGAGCCATAGCCGGCACGCTGAGCTCAAAACGGATTGAGCTGGGAGCTTTGCCAGCATGAATGACCTGTGCTGCTGCTAACTCTTATGGTTGTGTACATCTTGTTTTGGCTAGAATCTTGGTAGAGATATACTTTTCTTTTTCTCAGAAAGGCCCGATCTGCCGGAATGGGCTTCAATGCGTCCGTTGGAAGCGCAGCAAATTGGGTGTACTCTACTGTAACCTTGGGAACCACACAGGGCGGTTCAGGAATCATTTTCTTTGGCCTTCAAAGATGCTACATGAAATGTCGATTTCTTTCAGCCCAAATGGCGGGGTACCCACAAGCTCGGGTTCGAGGCGCGCGGCACGGTCCATGGCCGGGCTTGCGCCGAGGCCGGTACACGTTGCTGGTTATTGTAGTGCCAACGTGCTAAAGGGCTGGGAGAGACACGAGTCAGCCTTCCATACTATTGCTCGCAAAGTTGGGCCAATATCGCGGAAGGGAGCGCATGACAGAGGCAGTTTGCATACTGGCACGTGTGTGGATATTGTCAAAGGGGCAACAAGCTTTCCAAATATATATATATATATATATATGTATATATATAGTAACGGTATGCCTGTATATATATATATATACATATGTTTAGTGGGCCCCACTAGGATCCAAGGTTCGAAGGCGAGTTGTCATCCAATAAGATGAGATATTGTTTAGCAGTAGAGGGCGCGTTTTGCTTGTCAACCTTGCTCTTGCCTGGGTTTCAGAGTCCTAACGATTTGTGGACTTCTTGCGCTGGGTTCCATATAGTCCTTGCCACCTATGCCAGATGGTGCCTGAGGCTCAAAGGCGGACACGTCATCCCTCCATGTCAACTTGCACCTTGTTGGCCCCCCCGGGCTTGCGCAGGCACTAGCGACACAGAGAAGCTCCGAGGCAAGGACAGATTGTGTTTTGGCGCGGCTCCACTGGTACCTTGGAATGTGCTAATGTGTAATTCAATCCTTCAAGGTCTGCCATGGCAAGTACGGCCTTTTCGGCCTGATGGCTATAACGCCAACAAACTTCAATGCCTTGCCATCATTGGAATGTCCTGGTCCTTTATTGGTGTATTTTGCTTGTTTCATCTCAACTCTGAGCTTGTTCTCGAGTGTGGACCCGTGTTTTGCTGCCGCGTGGCTTCAAAGGGAGCGGCACGCCGGACACCGCTCGCCGGCGCCAGGCCCCGCTGGCAATCAGCATGGGCACGCAGGGCGGCTGGGGCAACGAGGCGCAGAGAGCAGCTGAACCACGGGTAGGTCCAGGTAGGTGTCGGAAAGCGCTGGGACCCCTGGGTTTTGCAGGGGGCCAGTTTATTCTCAAAATGAGTTGGACGATTGTTGGGGACGGTTGAATTGTGAAGCCGCTGCTTTTGGCGGATTTAGTTGTGGTATTTCGGGATTGGAGGATGGTTGGCTTGCAGAATTGCAGAACGGTAGGTTTGGTCGAGAGAGAGAGAGACCTGCCTGCCAGGGGTTGCCAGGAAGGGTCATGGATGCCTGAATCGCCGGTTGCACAAACCAGCTTAAGGATGTCAGACCGCATTAATTATGTTCAACAAGCATGACAGCACAGAGCGGCCAGGAGCAATGAACAGCCATGAAGGCTGTGTTTGAAGACCACGGTGTCAAAGCTAATAGGAGCATATCAGGTCGACTGAAACCGGCCCAGTTCAATGGTTCTGGGAAGAAGATATCTCCACGTTGTCCAGTTGATGCCATTGAGTGATTGCCTTTGTTTGCAGAAGACAATAGTCAAGGCCGGGTGGAAACATGTTTGGGGAAACATGTTGAATTAGGTGCAAAACGAGGTAGGGCCATAACATATACGGGTGTTGGAAAGCGCGGTGAATGAGTCAAACGGGTGCAGCGTTCGAGAACGAGGTGGGAACACCCGACCATTTAGATGCGAAAAACCTAGCGCTGATGAGCAATGAATGCCATCACTTGGATTGGTATGTGGGATCCTTTCTACACACATCCCGAAATTTCCCCATGGCGGGGAGAACGTGATGAAGGCCTCATAGATTTAACAAGCGCACCGTTTTTTGCCATTGCTCTCAACCTTGGGGCTTTGCGGACCCCAGTTTCAGGCCACGAAAAGCATCCTGAAGCGGCTGCCGTCCTTGGGGGGCAAGGAATCATTGTCATTCAGCTCTGCATTAAAGTAAGCCACCCTTTTTCTTGGGCGTGGGGGTTTCAGCAAGAACCAGCATGAAACCAAGCGTTTTGAAGGGTCGCTGGTTTTGACGCTTCCGTTTGAAGTGCTGGCAAGCGCGCTTCTTGCAGGCGTCCATGGCAGCTGGAATGGGCACGCGCAGTGCAGTCTCGGAGGAGCGGTGCATGCCAAGATGAGGATTGATTAACCAGGGGCCCTTTCACAAATGGGGTACCAAAGGGGAGGAGCGGGGTTCAGTTCTGACAGGTATTGATTTGGACATAGAAGATGTTTCACAAGAGAGGATGACTCCACTGACATTGTTCTCCAGGATAGCTCTCTCTCTCTCTCTCTCTCTCTCTCTCTTTGCATATCTGTACATATATAGAGAGGTGTGTGTGTGTGTGTCTGTGTTGGGGTGTTTATACTATGTGTGTCCATGTCACGACCCATGAGTTTGTGCGCAAACCTGCACCAGACTTTGCCAGACCCTGAATCCTCCAGGTTTCCAAAATGATTTCTGTTGACAACTGGCCTTCCAGACGCCAGATCCCTTCGCCAGGCCCCGCTGGCAATCGGCATGGGCACGCGGGGCTGGGGCAACGAGGCGCAGAAAGCAGTTGGACAAACGGTGGGTGTTGGAAAGTGTCGAGACCCCTGTGTTTTTTAGGGCCCTTGTATGATTCACTTGCGGGGAAGTACGAACCCTAGTTCGTCTTCCGTGAGTGCGCAAAGAAAGGAGGGATTCCCGCCTTGGTATTAGCACGAGTTGGACGTTTTTTGGCGGACGGCTGTAAGACTACTGTAAGAGACAATATCTATGAAGCCGCCGCTTTTTGTGGAGGTCCAGTGATTCAGTGATCCAACGCATGAGTTTGCGATCAGCTGTGGAGTTAGTTTTGGTATTTGGGGTCGAGGGAGACCAACCTACCTGGTCAAACCAGCTTCACGATACTGGGCCACATTAGTTTCGACCAAAGAGCAAGGAAGCGAACAGCTTTGGATATCAGTTCTACCCACCGGCCCCTCCACATTTTCGTACACCAGTGGTGCCACGCAGATGGCTGTTCAATGGTCCTGGGAAGAAGATATCTCCACGTGTGGCCACTTTAGATTCGAGCGATCTGCCTTTGTTTACAGAAGACAATAGTCAAGGCCGGGTGGAAACATGTTTGGGGAAACATGTTGAATTAGGTGCGAAACGAGGTAGGGCCATAACATATACGGGTGTTGGAAAGCGCGGTGAATGAGTCAAACGGGTGCAGCGTTCGAGAACGAGGTGGGAACACCCGACCATTTAGATGCGAAAAACCTAGCGCTGATGAGCAATGAATGCCATCACTTGGATTGGTATGTGGGATCCTTTCTACACACATCCCGAAATTTCCCCATGGCGGGGAGAACGTGATGAAGTCCTCATAGATTTAACAAGCGCACCGTTTTTTTGCCATTGCTCTCAACCTTGGGGCTTTGCGGACCCCAGTTTCAGGCCACGAAAAGCATCCTGAAGCGGCTGCCGTCCTTGGGGGGCAAGGAATCATTGTCATTCAGCTGTGCATCAAAGTAAGCCACCCTTTTTCTTGGGCGTGGAAGTTTCAGCAAGAACCAGCATGAAACCAAGCGTTTTGAAGGGTCGCTGGTTTTGACGCTTCCGTTTGAAGTGCTGGCAAGCGCGCTTCTTGCAGGCGTCCATGGCAGCTGGAATGGGCACGCGCAGTGCAGTCTCGGAGGAGCGGTGCATGCCAAGATGAGGATTGATTAACCAGGGGCCCTTTCACAAATGGGGTACCAAAGGGGAGGAGAGGGGTTCAGTTCTGACAGGTATTGATTTGGACATAGAAGATGTTTCACAAGAGAGGATGACTCCACTGACATTGTTCTCCAGGATAGCTCTCTCTCTCTCTCTCTCTCTCTCTTTGCATATCTGTACATATATAGAGAGGTGTGTGTGTGTCTGTGTTGGGGTGTTTATACTATGTGTGTCCATGTCACGACCCATGAGTTTGTGCGCAAACCTGCACCAGACTTTGCCAGACCCTGAATCCTCCAGGTTTCCAAAATGATTTCTGTTGACAACTGGCCTTCCAGACGCCAGATCCCTTCGCCAGGCCCCGCTGGCAATCGGCATGGGCACGCGGGGCTGGGGCAACGAGGCGCAGAAAGCAGTTGGACAAACGGTGGGTGTTGGAAAGTGTCGAGACCCCTGTGTTTTTTAGGGCCCTTGTATGATTCACTTGCGGGGAAGTACGAACCCTAGTTCGTCTTCCGTGAGTGCGCAAAGAAAGGAGGGATTCCCGCCTTGGTATTAGCACGAGTTGGACGTTTTTTGGCGGACGGCTGTAAGACTACTGTAAGAGACAATATCTATGAAGCCGCCGCTTTTTGTGGAGGTCCAGTGATTCAGTGATCCAACGCATGAGTTTGCGATCAGCTGTGGAGTTAGTTTTGGTATTTGGGGTCGAGGGAGACCAACCTACCTGGTCAAACCAGCTTCACGATACTGGGCCACATTAGTTTCGACCAAAGAGCAAGGAAGCGAACAGCTTTGGATATCAGTTCTACCCACCGGCCCCTCCACATTTTCGTACACCAGTGGTGCCACGCAGATGGCTGTTCAATGGTCCTGGGAAGAAGATATTTCCACGTGTGGCCACTTTAGATTCGAGCGATCTGCCTTTGTTTACAGAAGACAATAGTCAAGGCCGGGTGGAAACATGTTTGGGGAAACATGTTGAATTAGGTGCGAAACGAGGTAGGGCCATAACATATACGGGTGTTGGAAAGCGCGGTGAATGAGTCAAACGGGTGCAGCGTTCGAGAACGAGGTGGGAACACCCGACCATTTAGATGCGAAAAACCTAGCGCTGATGAGCAATGAATGCCATCACTTGGATTGGTATGTGGGATCCTTTCTACACACATCCCGAAATTTCCCCATGGCGGGGAGAACGTGATGAAGGCCTCATAGATTTAACAAGCGCACCGTTTTTTGCCATTGCTCTCAACCTTGGGGTTTTGCGGACCCCAGTTTCAGGCCACGAAAAGCATCCTGAAGCGGCTGCCGTCCTTGGGGGGCAAGGAATCATTGTCATTCAGCTGTGCATCAAAGTAAGCCACCCTTTTTCTTGGGCGTGGGGGTTTCAGCAAGAACCAGCATGAAACCAAGCGTTTTGAAGGGTCGCTGGTTTTGACGCTTCCGTTTGAAGTGCTGGCAAGCGCGCTTCTTGCAGGCGTCCATGGCAGCTGGAATGGGCACGCGCAGTGCAGTCTCTGAGGAGCGGTGCATGCCAAGATGAGGATTGATTAACCAGGGGCCCTTTCACAAATGGGGTACCAAAGGGGAGGAGAGGGGTTCAGTTCTGACAGGTATTGATTTGGACATAGAAGATGTTTCACAAGAGAGGATGACTCCACTGACATTGTTCTCCAGGATAGCTCTCTCTCTCTCTCTCTCTCTTTGCATATCTGTACATATATAGAGAGGTGTGTGTGTGTGTGTGTGTCTGTGTTGGGGTGTTTATACTATGTGTGTCCATGTCACGACCCATGAGTTTGTGCGCAAACCTGCACCAGACTTTGCCAGACCCTGAATCCTCCAGGTTTCCAAAATGATTTCTGTTGACAACTGGCCTTCCAGACGCCAGAACCCTTCGCCAGGCCCCGCTGGCAATCGGCATGGGCACGCGGGGCTGGGGCAACGAGGCGCAGAAAGCAGTTGGACAAACGGTGGGTGTTGGAAAGTGTCGAGACCCCTGTGTTTTTTAGGGCCCTTGTATGATTCACTTGCGGGGAAGTACGAACCCTAGTTCGTCTTCCGTGAGTGCGCAAAGAAAGGAGGGATTCCCGCCTTGGTATTAGCACGAGTTGGACGTTTTTTGGCGGACGGCTGTAAGACTACTGTAAGAGACAATATCTATGAAGCCGCCGCTTTTTGTGGAGGTCCAGTGATTCAGTGATCCAACGCATGAGTTTGCGATCAGCTGTGGAGTTAGTTTTGGTATTTGGGGTCGAGGGAGACCAACCTACCTGGTCAAACCAGCTTCACGATACTGGGCCACATTAGTTTCGACCAAAGAGCAAGGAAGCGAACAGCTTTGGATATCAGTTCTACCCACCGGCCCCTCCACATTTTCGTACACCAGTGGTGCCACGCAGATGGCTGTTCAATGGTCCTGGGAAGAAGATATTTCCACGTGTGGCCACTTTAGATTCGAGCGATCTGCCTTTGTTTACAGAAGACAATAGTCAAGGCCGGGTGGAAACATGTTTGGGGAAACATGTTGAATTAGGTGCGAAACGAGGTAGGGCCATAACATATACGGGTGTTGGAAAGCGCGGTGAATGAGTCAAACGGGTGCAGCGTTCGAGAACGAGGTGGGAACACCCGACCATTTAGATGCGAAAAACCTAGCGCTGATGAGCAATGAATGCCATCACTTGGATTGGTATGTGGGATCCTTTCTACACACATCCCGAAATTTCCCCATGGCGGGGAGAACGTGATGAAGGCCTCATAGATTTAACAAGCGCACCGTTTTTTTGCCATTGCTCTCAACCTTGGGGCTTTGCGGACCCCAGTTTCAGGCCACGAAAAGCATCCTGAAGCGGCTGCCGTCCTTGGGGGGCAAGGAATCATTGTCATTCAGCTGTGCATCAAAGTAAGCCACCCTTTTTCTTGGGCGTGGGGGTTTCAGCAAGAACCAGCATGAAACCAAGCGTTTTGAAGGGTCGCTGGTTTTGACGCTTCCGTTTGAAGTGCTGGCAAGCGCGCTTCTTGCAGGCGTCCATGGCAGCTGGAATGGGCACGCGCAGTGCAGTCTCGGAGGAGCGGTGCATGCCAAGATGAGGATTGATTAACCAGGGGCCCTTTCACAAATGGGGTACCAAAGGGGAGGAGAGGGGTTCAGTTCTGACAGGTATTGATTTGAACATAGAAGATGTTTCACAAGAGAGGATGACTCCACTCACATTGTTTTCCAGGCTAGCTCTCTCTCTCTCTCTCTCTCTCTCTCTCTTTGCATATCTGTACATATATAGAGGTGTGTGTGTGTGTATGTGTGTCTGTGTTGGGGTGTTTATACTATGTGTGTCCATGTCACGACCCATGAGTTTGCGCGCAAACCTGCACCAGACTTTGCCAGACCCTGAATCCTCCAGGTTTCCAAAATGATTTCTGTTGACAACTGGCAGTCGACTCACGAAGCCTTCCAGACCGCCAGAACCCTTCGCCAGGCCCCGCTGGCAATCGGCATGGGCACGCGGGGCTGGGGCAACGAGGCGCAGAAAGCAGTTGGACGAACGGTGGGTGTTGGAAAGCGAGACCCCTGTTTTTTTCCAGGGTCCTTCCACATGTCACTTGCGGGGAAATACGAACCCTAGTTCGTCTTCCGGGAATGCGCAAAGAAAGTAGGGATTTCCGCTGGTGTTGGTATCAAGACGCTTTTTTGGCGGACGGCTGTAAGACTATTGCAAGAGACAATATCTATGAAGCCGCCGCTTTTTGCGGAGGTCCAGCGATTCAGTGATCCAACGCGTGAGTTTTTGTCAGCTGTGGAGTTAGTTTTGGTTTTTGGGCATTGGAGTTTGTTGCAGCAAGGCAGGTTGGTCGAGGGAGACCTACCTACCTGGTCAAGCCAGCTTCGCGATGGCCACATTAGTTTCGACCAAAGAGCAAGGAAGCTAACAGCTTTGCATACCAGTTCCACCCACCGGCCCCTCCAGAGTTTACGTGCACCAGTGGTGGGAGGCAAATGGCTGTTCAATGGTCCTGGGAAGAAGATATCTCCACGTCTTCCAGTTGACGCCAGTTGCCACACTGTAGCCAGTTGCCACTGTAGATTCGAGCGATCTGCCTTTGTTTACAGAAGACAATAGTCAAGGCCGGGTGGAAACATGTTTGGGGAAACATGTTGAATTAGGTGCGAAACGAGGTAGGGCCATAACATATACGGGTGTTGGAAAGCGCGGTGAATGAGTCAAACGGGTGCAGCGCTCGAGAACGAGGTGGGAACACCCGACCATTTAAAATGCAAAAACGTAGCTCTGATGAACAATGGATGCCATCACTTGGATTGGCATTTGGGATGCTTTCTAAACATATGCTCGAAGCCGCCTGGCGGGGAGAATGTTCATTGAACAAACGCCACTGTTTCTCGCTGGAGGCTTCTTTTTGACATTGCTCTCAACCTTGGGGCTTTGCGGACCCCAGTTTCAGGCCATGTTTGCATCCTGAAGCGGCTGCCGTCCTTGGGCAAGGAATCATTGTCATTCAGCTGTGCATCAAAGTAAGCCACCCTTTTTCTTTGGCAGGGGGGCTTCAGCAACAACCAGCATGAAACCAAGCATTTTGAAGGGTCGCTGTGTTTGACGCTCCCGTTTGAAGTGCTGGCAAGCTCGCTTCTTGCAGGCGTCCATGGCAGCTGGAATGGGCACGCGCAGTGCAGTCTCGGAGGAGCGGTGCATGCCAAGATGAGGATTGATTAACCAGGGGCCCTTTCACAAATGGGGTACCAAAGGGGAGGAGAGGGGTTCAGTTCTGACAGGTATTGATTTGGACATAGAATATGTTTCACAAGAGAGGATAGCTCCACTCACATTGTTTTGCAGGATAGCGCGCTCTCTCTCTCTCTATATATATATATCTGTATATGTATATGTATACATATATGTATACAGAGATGTGTTTGAGTGTGTGTGTGTGTGTGTGTGTGTGTGGGTGCGTGCGTGCATGTGTGTGCGCATCTGTGCGCGCGTGTGTGTGTGTGTGGTGTGTGTGTGTGTGTGGTGTCTGTGTGTGGTGTTTGTGTCTGTGTCTGTGTCTGTGTCTGTGTCTGTGTCTGTGTCTGTGTCTGTGTCTGTGTCTGTGTGTGTGTGCGCGTGTCTTTGTGTGTGTCTGTGTGTCTCTGTGTGTCTCTGTGTGTCTCTGTGTGTCTCTGTGTGTCTGTGTGTGTGTGTCTGTGTGTGTGTGTCTGTGTGTCTGTGTCTGTGTGTGTCTGTGTGTGTCTGTGTGTGTCTGTGTGTCTGTGTGTGTGTGTGTGTCTGTGTGTCTGTGTCTGTGTCTGTGTCTGTGTGTGCGTGTGTGTCTGTGTGTTCATAATAGGTGTGTTCATGGGTTCATTGTGGCTGGCACCAACCTAAGTTTGCGCGCAAACCTGCACCAGACTTTGCCAGACCCTGAGTCCTTTAGGAAGCCAACGTGCTGTCTGTTGACAATTGGCAGTCGACTCACGACGCTTTCCAAACTGGCAGAAGGCAGAACCGTGCGCCAGGCCCCACCGGCAATCGGCATGGGCACGCGGGGCTGGGGCAACGAGGCTGGACGAACGGTAGGTGTCAGAAAGCATTGAGACCCCTGGGTTTTTCTGGGGCCCCTCTATTGTTCTTTCCGGGAAATGTGAAGTCTAGTCACTTTGATTTTCTGATTTTGCAAAGAAAGTAAGGATCCCGGCCGGTTTTGGCATTAACACGAGTTGGAGGTAAGAGGCAAGTTCTATGAAGCCGCCGCTTTTTGTGGAGGTCCGGTCGCAACATTTGCAGAAAGGCAGGTTTGGTGGAGAGATAGATCTGCCTACCTGGTCAATCCAGCTCCTGGATACCGGGTTACGCTACTCTTTTCCAAAGAGCAATGAAGCTAGCAGCTTTGGATACCAGTTCTACTCACCGGCCCCTCCAGAGTTTACGCACCCCAGTGGTGCCAGGCAAATAGCTGTTCAATGGTCTTGAGAAGAAAGATATCTCCATGTTTTCCAGTTGATGCTGGAGTGACTGCCTTTGCTTACAGAAGACAAGAGTCAAGGCCGGGTGGAAACATGTTTGGGAAATATACTGAATTAGGTGCAAATTGAGGTGGCAACACCCCCAAAACAAGGTAGGGCCATGACACAACTGGTTGAGATCACAAACACATTCGGCGTTGGAAAACGAGGTGAATGAGTCAAACAGGTGCAGCGTTGGAGAACTAGGTGGGGACACCCGACCATTTAACCATGCAAATAGCGCAGCTCAGATGAACAATGGGCGCTATGACTTGGATTGATATTTAGGATCCTTTCTAAACATATCTTGAAACCTCCGCATGGCGGGGAGAACGTGATTGGGGTGTCATGATTTTACACAAACACCAAGGTGTCCCGCTAAAGCAGCGCTTATGTAGCCATTGCTCTGAACCCTGGGGCATTGCGGACATGCCCAGTTTCAGGCCACGAAAAAGCATCCTGAAGCCGCAGCCATCCTCGGGGACAAGGAATCATTCGGCTCTGCATGAAGTAAGCTACCTTTTTTTCTTGGGGGGCGGGTTCATCGACGATAACCAGCCTGAAGATGAGGATTGATTAACCAGGGACTCTTTCAGGGATGGGGTGCAAAAAGGGAGTCGTATTGATTTGGACACAGAAGATGTTTCACAAGAGAGGATAACTCCACTCACATTGCTTTGCAGGATAGCGCTCTCTCCCCCTCTCCCTCTCTCCCTCTTTTTTTCTTCTCTCTCTCTCTCTCTCTTTATACATCTGTATAAATATATATATATATATTTATATATATATACATTACATATATATATATATGTGTGTGTGTCCGTGTGTTCATAATATGTGTGTTTGTTGATTCGTCGTGGCTGGCACGACCCATAAGTTTGCGAGCAAACCTGCACCCAGACTTTGCCAGACCCTGAATCCTTCAGGTTTCCAAAATGATTTCTGTTGACAATTGTCAGTCGACTCACGAAGCTTTCCAGACTGGCAGAACGCTGCGCCAGGCCGCGCCGGCAATCGGCATGGGCACGCGGGGCTGGGGCAACGAGGCTGGACGAACGGTAGGTGTCAGAAAGCATTGAGACCCCTGGGTTTTTTGTTCAGGGGCCCCTGTATATTTTCTATGAGGGAAATGTGAAGTCTAGTTGGTTAGTCTGATGTTGCAAAGAAAGCAACTCCCCTGACGCTTTTTGAGGTTGCAGGAGACAAGTTTTTGTTTCTGTTACTTTTCGTGCAGGTCAGGCTGGTTTCGACACAGCTCAACCCGAGCTTGCTCCAACTCATGAGTTCTCGATCATCAATGGAGTTAATGTGGTATGTCGGAATTGGAGCTCGTTTGTCTTGCTAAAATTGCAGAAAGGCAGAGCTTAACTAAAGTTGTCAGGGATGGTCACACACTGAAGTCTGACTTAATGTGGTGGGCTGCCAGGTTCTCCATGCAGACTTGGGACCCTCAATACCCTAGGCGGACCAGACACTTGTTTTTGTGGTAAGGGGTTTCTAGCTGTTTAGGGTTTCGTGGGGTTTCCATTTGACCCACTAAAAGGGAAACTTAAGTTAAGCTTTTAGCAGGGCATCTGAGGTGCTAGGCACTAGGCGCCCTTTTGGCTTTCATCCGCGAGACCGCCCTGTCCACATCTCCAGGCGACCCTGGCAGTTGGCATGGGCACGCGGAGCGGGGTCGAGGCGCGAGCTTTGCAATTTGCTTGGGTTCGAACAACACGACTGGCAGCAACGTCACAGCAACTGCCGGAACATCTACAACATGCATGCTTAGTTGTGGAATCCCTTGAAGTAGGATGTGTGTCAGGTTGGGACAACACCAAACAATCAAACAAGTTTTACTGGAAGAGCAGTCGGCGCCCCATCAGTGGAGTGTTTGAGCCCGGCCGGGCGGGCTCAACTGCCAGGCCGCAGCCGGAATGGGCACACGGAGTGAGGCGCGGAAGGAGAAGCAACGGGCAATGGGACCAACAAGTACCTGGGCCTTTTTGGTTGAGTTGGTTAAAACATAGAGGGCCCTAGTTTACCAGGTGGTTCTAAAAAAGACACCTATGTATGGGTACCTTTGGTGGTGCCCATATGACTGTAGGGCCCTCTTGCAATGATAGGTGCATGTTGCCAATTTGGTAGCCAACAGTCAACAAGCAACAAACAAAGGCCAACAACCAACAATCAAGAGCCATGTCCAAGTGGTCAACTGCGAGGGCCTCAGAAACTGCACAACCAGCGATACGCTTATGAGAAAGTACATGCTCGCAGGCGCAGGTGTCACCTTATGCAGAAAGAAGTACATCTTATCAGACGCAAGGTTGCTGCTGTTGTTGTTGTTGTTGTTGTTGTTGTTGTTGTTGTTGTTGTTGTTGTTGTTGTTGTTGTTGTTGCTGCTGTTGCTGTTGCTGGTGCTGGTGCTGGTGCTGGTGCTGGTGCTGGTGCTGGTGTTGTTGTGGTCGTCGTCGTCGTCGTCGTCGTCGTCGTGGTGGTGGTGGTGTTGTTGTTGTTGTTGTTGTTGTTGTTGTTGTTGTTGTTGTTGTTGTTGTTGTTGTTGTTGTTGTTGTTGTTGTTGTTGCTGTTGCTGTTGCTGTTGCTGTTGCTGTTGCTGTTGCTGTTGCTGTTGCTGTTGCTGTTGCTGTTGCTGTTGCTGTTGCTGTTGCTGTTGCTGTTGCTGTTGCTGTTGCTGTTGCTGTTGCTGTTGCTGTTGCTGTTGCTGTTGTTGTTGTTGTTGTTGTTGTTGTTGTTGTTGTTGTTGTTGTTGTTGTTGTTGTTGTTGTTGTTGTTGTTGTTGCGCCAGAAACTCAAACCGATGTCAAACGACACGTTCGCTGCTGATGCTTCATTTTGCGTAACGTATGATGACCGTCATAGCAATCGTCATTAAACCACGTGTGCGACAAGGGAAACCTCGCGACTATGCGGTGGGGCACGCGGTTCCTCAAACTCGTTAGTCTCAATGATGGCAAGCGTTTTCGTAGGTTGAAGCCCATGTTTTGTCACTGTCATCCCTTTCCTTTTCTCTAGTTTCTCAACGCACACTTGCCTTTGCTGTTTGTCCCGGTCAATGACACAACTGTAAACGTGGCCACCCGCTGGGATGCACGTTGACAGACTGTCTAGAAGCGAGCAATCAAATTGACACGCAGCTTCGGAGCTTATGCCGACGATGATCGTGTCAGAAAGTCATCGCAGTCTATCCACGTTACCCCTCGCGAGGCACCCATGGCGATCGGAATGGGCACGCGCAGTTCATACGCAGAGGCGCATGGGTGGTATCCCAAGTTGTGGTATGGAAGCACCAAAACGCGCTTTGGTTTCCTTTGAATTCCCGTTAAACCCTAAAAGGGGTACCAAAGACAGACCCAAACAAGAGGAAATGGATTTGATTTCTAACATGTCGAATGGTTGCAGCGTCGCGGGATTTGAACACCTCCCAGCCTTTTGTCGCTGCATTGCCTGAAGTCCAGTGGGACGGTTTGAAACAAGTTGAAGCAAATTTTTGGCAGAGCTTGCAAAGGGAGCCAAGAGAATCTTGCTCACTTAATTCGGAGGTTGAGTCACCGTGACATGTGTTCAGAACCTTGTATTTTGCCAGTTTGCATTTGCATCCAGCAGCCCGGACAAACGAACCGGCATGTAGCGTGAAATTTTGGTGAGCAAAAGACCATGCACATGATGTTTGTCCATTTATCACTTGTTGACACCTCTGCAAACTATCGTGGGCCATTTAATTTGCGTTTTGCTACGTATAACTTGGTTGACGTGTGTGTATAGCAAGTTTTGGGATGATTGTGGGCAGTGACCACGAATCACTGGTACTAGGGTTGCCTGCCACATGTGAAAGGTATACGCTCGTTCGGCGAGGTCTGCACAAGAAGCCAATCCTAGGTTGGGCCCTTTGCAAGCCTCTTGCTGCATAAGATCAGAGTGCTGTTGTGGAGTCTGGGGAGGGTCATAGAGGCTCGCAAGTGGGGTTGCGGCACCTGCAAATTCCCTGAACCGGAGGGAGCAGTGAACCAAAGTAGGATTATACTTTGGAGTCGGCCATGGGCATGCCAACACGAGAAAGACAGCTATATAAAGAGGTGAGCAAGGGAGTCGATCCAAATACTGGGTTTCTTGGGAATTGTGTTGATCCCTTGCCCAAAGGAGGATTTGTTTTGTTCATCTTGGAAACCCCGATTTTCAGAATGCCCCCCAACGAGACGGGAGACCGATGCATATTGAGTGTGAAGTTTGACTTGCATTCACATCACTCCCAGCTTACTTCCAGTGCGCTTCGTCGGCAGGACATTGCGTTGAGTTGACAGGAGGCCATTTGCACTCTGGGCAGTTCAGCACAAACCACAGGACCTCGGAACAAGGCCTTGTTCCAGGACTGGGGTACGGCCGACAGCCGTGGCAATTGGACCCCCACGCCCTTCGTGGCGGTGCCTGTAGCCCTCAAGGGCGCAGGGGTGATTCGGCCAGACCGTGGTGACAATGTTCAAGCTTCTCATCCGAAGTTGCAAGTGAAAACCCAATCGGTGACCTTCCGAGTGACGCAGAATGCTTTGGGGAATACTGGGTCATTCTGCAGCCATCTTTGGGCATTGGTTTTCCAGGAATGCTTCCAAATGGCCCAGCCTCATCCCGCGGAGGCGCCCGCCTTTGGCATTGACGCCCCAGCAAGGGGCTTAGAGCAGCAAGATGCGTAGCTGGTAGTCTGCAGCGGTACACGCTTCTTATCCAAAGCATAGGTCTCGGGTCGTGTACAGAAGTGATAGCGCCTCATGATGTAGCAAAGCCCATCATTTTCATGACAGCTGCGCCATCTAGCAGTGCTTAAGCAAATTGGTGCATCCTGCCGAAGAGATGAACAAGCTATATGTTCCCATTCGTCTTTCCTGGACTTGATACTTGTGGTGAAGCGTACGTGAATGCAATTTCATACGAGTTCACACTCTTTTGAGCCACTCAGCAAACACTCCACTGTGAGGTTGCATGGGGTGCTGCATACAGACTTTCAACTAAGCAGTTTCCGTTTCTTTGCGCGTCCCAAGTTTGGGCTCAGGCTTTAAGCATCGCCAACAGTGCTTCACAGGGGGATCATGTTTGTCAGCTCCTTGTTTGGATTTCCATCCTTTGGGGGGGGGGGGGGCGCGGGGGGGGGGGCTGACACTTTCAATTATGAGATGATGCCCTATTCACTGCGCCCACTTATGCCACGATGTACCAGCAGACAGCGCCTGTGTCAACTCCAATCCATGTTTTCAGTTGCAGTCAATAGACATGGTTGTTGGATGTGCCTGGATTTGGTCAGGAACCCTTTAGTTTGGATTCAGGGCAAAGACGATACGGGTTTCCACTCCATGGTCAGTCAGGGGTCTATGGCCATGACACAATATATATATATATATATAATACATATACACATGAGTATACATATACATGTAACATGTATATACATTCCCCAGGAGGAACCATGCTAAAAGCCAGTCAGTCCGAAGGGCCGGCATCCCAACTGGCTGGGTGAACTTCTGCGAAACGACCCGTTTGCATGAAGAGCCGAGGTGCAAAGCTTCGCGCCCGCGAGCTTTGCCATGGAGGCGGTGACCGTGCGGGCGCCCGTGGCAGGTTTCAGCTGGGCCACGCCATTAGTTCAGTCCAAGGCAGACGTGGGATATTTGGCGGGATCATTGATCCAGCCAAGTGCATCAAGGCCAGCCATGGTAGGCAATCACGGTGAAACCCATCAAGAAGCACATTCTGGGAGTACAAGCAGAAAGTAGTTGCCCAATGCTTGCTAAATGCGGCACCCCTTGTTGCTGGTCGCATATTGAGGTGGCTACCGGCCAGGCGCGGGGATGCAGCGAATGGGGGGCAGAGGACGGGGATGGGTGAGTCCAACACTCGTTTGGTGCACCGAAGCAAAAGCTGCAGAAGAGTTTGATACAGGGCAACCCAGTAAGGGCAACCCACCAAGGGTGGCAACCCACACCAACACTTGCTGAAAAGGATGAGTTTTTCTGTGTTGGCCCAAAGTTTTCAGACTTCCTCATCAAACCTTTTTCAGGGGCACCTTGAACAAGGTCTGCTGCTGAAACTCGTTTTGATGCATTCTGAAGTCAGAAGGGTTGGAACGTGGGAGACATGCCTGTTGTGTGTCAAAGTGAGGCACCTTTTGCTGGCCGGTCCAACGGGTTTTGACACATTCCTGTGGAAATACACATCATGAAGCGTTGCAGAAGGGGTCGCTTGCTGGTTTTGCCCAAAGCTTGGGGGAGCTGGGCAACCACGGTCTATGGGTAGACGCTTGCAGGCGGCTGGGGTTCCGAGGCAGCAGGCGCGGATTTCGAAAGCGGTCGGTGGTCGTCGTCATCTCTCAGGGCATTGCTCAGTGGTGGTGGTCGTTGGGTCACACTCCCAGCAACCCGAGACCAGGGCTGTTCGCCAAGTTCGCATGTCGCTTGGGGCTCGTTTGCATCCAAAAGAGGATTTGGAGTTTCAAGTTGGCTAATTGTTGTAGCGAAGCAACAAGGGGTCTTAGCCAACGCAAGCCAGTGGCTTTGACTCAGAATTTGGTGTCTTCGGTGTTGAGCGACCTTAATCTTGGGGTACAAATGATCCATTATTTTTGACGTACATCTGGAAGGCCGTTGGGTCAGCGAACTGTCTTCTTTGCTTCCGGTTCTTGTGGATAGTTTTCGTTTTGCTGGTCATTGGTCAGCTTGCTCTTTGCGAAAATGGCAGTTTTCTATTGGTATTTGTATTCAAACTATTGAAGCGCTGACCAAATGGCAGCCCTTTTCTGAAAACCCTTCAAAGGTACCGCGATATGACAAAAGGGCCCCAGAAGACTTCCACGTTTCACAATCTCTTTTTTGCCTTTCTGTTTGTTGTAGAAGCAATGCCTCTGGGGCAGACAGATGGATCCAATGCATGTCCCAGCGCCTTCATGGCACTGCCAACCATCTTCGCAGGGCACGACGGTGGACATCGTGTCCTGCTGCAGCGAGGGACAGGCCATGGGGCAGGCGCGATGGTTTTGCCGTGATGGTCGTTCCGTGGTTGTCAGTTCCAATCTGGCTCAAGGAAGAATATTGATTTGTCATGCTCTCGCTGGCGTGAAGAAAGATGCCCATCCAGCTTCTGGATAAGAGGGTAGTTCACCCAACAATTGAAGAATCACTACACTACCCGGGTTCAGCAGCTTCCAGATGTTCGCAGAGCAAATGGGATGCGCGACTGTCTAGCATGTTGACATGATTGCACGTACATCTGTATGTCTCGGGATCGGAAGTATCAGAAGTATCAGAAGTACCGTTCAAGGGTTTGAATGAATAAATGAATGCATGAATGAATGAATGAATGAATGAATGAATGAATGAATGAATGAATGAATGAATGAATGAATGAAGCGCAAGTTTTTTTTTGAATCCTAAGGTTCCTCATGAAAGGGGTGCGATTAGAAATTGTCAGGCAGTGAGTATGTGTCCGGGTCACAGGTAGCCCTATTCAAATTGGTTGACTGGCTGCCAAACACAATCTTTAGCTTGGATGACCCACATTTCAATCACAAGCGGCTCATTTTTCATGTTTCTTGGCCGGTCAACCCAGCAGGTCATTTGCGAAGTCAGACAAGGATTCAGAAAAATAATGGACCTGTGGACCTGAGTTGAAAGTCGCCAGACATCTCAGGTCTGGATAGATAGTTCAGGGGTCCCCCCAACCCCCCCGCTACTTTTTAGATTTGTTGCCCCTCATTGAATCATCACTTTTTGAAACATATGCCGGGGGGCCCCCTTGAAAACATCACTCCACCCGTCCTTTCGAGGGGACGATGTGCCATCGACCGAGCGCGGTGTCTCCGCCTTCGCCTGCAGCCCCCTCGGCGGCTCGGCGGGGTTTGGTTTTGACAAGGGGGGCTTGTTTTCAGGGGTCTTGGATTGTACCATTGAGGTACCCTTTGTCCAGAAATCATGCAAGTGGACAGCTGGTATGTTGAATCCTTTTGTGCCCATTCTTTCAATTGTTAAGGAGATAAGGCTATGAAAGAAGGCAAACACAAATTGCCATGTTGTTATTTCCAGGGCAATGGTCATTCAGGGGCCTTTGCATTGGCAGGGGGACCAACATTGAAGCTTCATGAAGCTCTGATTTGTTCAACAACCAATAGAATGACACTTTGCCGTTCCTGACCAGCTCACTCTGTCAAGATCCAGAAAAGGAACCAATGATCCTTGCAACTATGAAAGTAAGTAGTATTGCCAGAAGTATTGGCAACAGCTCTTGTACTTTCAACAATGTTTGTCATTTCTTGTCGCACTGGTCTTGAATTTCCAGGTTGTTGGTGGGTGCATAAAAGGATTTTGTGGGCAATGTTGAAGAACTTTGTGGGTGTTTGTCAAGTATTGGCTGGTAAGGGACATTCTTAAATCAGAGGTTATTTATCAGTGAAACAGGAAACTCTCTCTGATCTTCGCCAGAACTAGGTTTCGACCGGCTCGAGCCGAGGTCTCTTTTTCCCCGGCCCAGGCCTGGCTTGAACTTTGTTGCAGGCTCTGAGTGCAGCAACGGGTCCCGAAATCTTGGAGACCCCTTTAGGATTCAGAATTATTTTGGGAGTTGGCGTGAAACGGAATTTCAAATATAGATATATATATATATATACATATATATATATATATAATACAAGTCCCACCTGGGAAATTGATGGGAGAGGGGAGTCCTGCGTTTGCAGGAGAGGATCCTGTGAAGGATAAGAGACGCACACTCGTCTTACGTGTTCACAAATCCTTATCTTTCATGGGCACTGAGATGAACCTTGTCTTGTGCACCTGAAGCACTTTGAAGCACTTGATGCCGTGGTGATGTCAGTGCCATGCTCCGTGTTGTCGGCTGTTGACCTACACCTGAGGCTTCACCTTACTGCATGAGTAGCCTTTCAGGCAAACAGCACGAGTGCATGAGATGTGGGTAGTTTCTCTTTTGCGGGTGCAGTGTAAGCAAGAAGCTTTGACCCTGCAAGGCTGAAGCCTGTTGACTGGTTTGCCAGGCAGAAAGCCACAGCAACATGGACTCAAACTTAGACCTTTCAATCTCTCTCGGCGCTCTCTCCACTTGGGGGCTGGGGATGCATTCGAGACTTTTTGACCTTTGGGCTTGACGCCAGGCCAGCCAGACGACGAGGGTGCCCTGGGTTTGCGAGACGGTCGCAGAAGGAATCAGAATCCTCAAGTTTTCAGTTGTTTTCCACGTCTGGTCCATTTTGGTCATGGCCCCAAAAGCTTAGCCTTGTATTTTCTGGGTCCTTTGGGCAAGTGAGAGTACATATCCTGCCTCATGCCTCTCCCCACATCTGGTGCCCTTGTAAGATCTCCACACCCGATGAATGTAAGGGGGGACCTGTTGCAACATTTTGCAACAGTTGCAGATAGCAGCAGGCTGGTCACCAGTCAATCAGAGCCAGTACTCGCCAACTCGCCAATGACCCGCCTCCAAAGGGCCTTTGGCATCCTTGGGCACTTCGGACCACGGGCCAGTCATTCGACAGATTTGTCGGCACTTTTGTGTCGGCAACTGCGTCTACAGTTGTTTGGTTGTCTCAGAAGTAACACGTGCCCAATCATGCCCGCCCCGGCCCTTGCCGGGCATGCCTTGCGGATCCATCAAGCATGGCCACGCGCTCAGCTGGCCGCTGATCTGATTGCTGCGGGAGGATTGCCTTGAACATCCTTGAGCGGTGTTGGACATAAATATGATGGTACTTGTACAAGATGTTTCTGTGGCAGCACAGTTAAATCTGGCTGTTGGATTTTGCGGTATGTTATGGTAATTTGTGGCTATTGTGCCGAAGGCAGCACCGGAGGATGTCCGCTCTTGCTGCAGCGGATTTTTTCCTTCCGACCCTCGCCTCTGTTCGGCCTGTCCCTTCCTGGCTGGTGCCAGTCATGCCGCACTGGTCCCTGCTTTGCTCCGCAGCGCTAGCGCTGGCGGGTGACAGCTTTAGGCGCATCAGGCGTCCACGCGCAGATAGTCCATGGTGCTACGGCAAAGCACGTGCCACGCATCATTGACAGATACAACAGACTACAATCTCCCGGAAGCTTCTACACCGCAGCAGCTACGTTCCGTCGCACATGGGGAGCAGCTGATTATGCTGGTCTCATGTTGAATTAGCCTTTCAGCCTGCAGCAGCGGCAAAGGCAGTCGTATCCCTAGCTTGGTTTTGTCAGAATACGACGGGTTCAAAAGGACCTCTTGGCCTCGCATTTTTTTTTCCACCCAGGTGCGGGGGTCTTTGAGGGCATGCGAGAAAGAGGCTAGTGAAAGACAAGTGTCCCAAATCTTCAAAGTAGTCTTAGGACTCTCGCTTATGTGTAACCGCCTGAAAAAGGGTAGCAACATGCAGGGACTATCAGACACCCGCGAAACTCCCAAATGACCAATGGTAGCCTTTTCCGTGCGGGGAAAGTCATTTTGTTTCGGTGGTTTCCCTGATGGTCATCTCATGTAAAGCACCTTTTGATCAACCCCCATTTGGGCTTGCTAGGGTGCAGCCTTGTTTTTGCTTCACGTCATTGAGCGAGGGTCCCTTCGCCATGCCCTGGGCGTCGACACGGCGGGCTTTTCGGACGCCAGAGCCAGCAGTTTCCGGCGAGCCTTTGGGAACGACCAAACCAGGAATCGACCCTCCAAAGAGCCGCGTTGACCCAACCGACTGTCATCGCGCCGACTGGTCAGACAACCGATGTTCTAGTTCATAAGACCCTGCCCCAGGTGAGTTTTCCCGAACAAGGCCCGGACAAGGGCTAACTTGAGGAAATGGGGAGGGCAATGTTTCGGGAAAGAATTCACAGCTTGGCGCTTAGTTGAGTGCCAGGAACCTTTCCAGCAGATGACCGCAGATGAGATGCTGCTCTGGCAAGCGCTGGGCCTAGAATTGTGATGAGATAAGATGGGTTTCATTTAGTACTTTGTTGGTGTTCATGTTCACCAAGGTGCTTGATGGTTAACAGCGGTGCTTCTTGGTTGGGTGTTCAGTCGCTCCGTTGCGTGCCTTGCATTGTGTGCATATATGTATTGCAATGTTTGTTGCAGCTCTGTAAATGATAAACATTCGCTTGCCTTCAGTTGCAATGACTCAATTGATTGTTTGTTTGTATTTGTGGTCAGTGACTTGCATTGTGTTGTTTTGCCTGTCTCATGTTCGATGGTTGGTTCCTGCTTCTTCTAGGATTTCGGGCACTTCTGCGCCTGTGCTTTTAACGCTGTTCGTTTTGGCTGGAAGGTATATCGCCAGGCAGCGAAACCAATTTTATGCAGAGCTTGGTGTTTGTTCATTGCTTGCATTCCAGGGAATGGATGTGTGATGTGTGTTTCAGCCAGCGCATCTATCGAGCTTCATGATTGTTTGGGTTCCAAAAATCACGACAGTCACACGACCAGGGCAGTGATAGTGCTTGAGAGATCAAGCTACATCGTCAGTACCACATTGATATAGCTCAATGCAAGGCAAACTGTGGCAAATCTTAGTTGCACAGTGACGCCCTTTTTTCGAGGGCCTTGTCATCCAAATCTCAGACTTGTTCAACCGTCACCTCTTGGACCACCCCCAATTTTTGTGGCGGTCTGTCCAGTTGTTTGCGCCCAAAGTTTAAGAACAAAGAATGGCAAGCCCTTTTGCTGATTGCCCGTTGGTTGCAACACGTGCACCCATGATATGTGGTTCATACAAGCAGCCAATGAGACAATGTTTTTCATGGTGGACTTCTGCCCGTGAAGGGTCAGGTTTTTGTGCTGGCCCCGATTGCAGCCCGTGAAAACAGCCACCTGGCTCAAGCGGTGCAGCAGGTACTGATGCTAAGAAACGAGGAGATGGAACAGGGGGCGGGCGGAGCAAAATGCTAAACTTATTGGTGCCTCCCGGCTGCCTCCCCAAAAACCCTGCATTGACCACAGACCCTCATGGAGCGCTCATAGAACTCAGAAGCAGATGTGCCTTGTACAACCCCGACACAACACTGACCATGAACACTTATAGATAAAAAGCTGTCCCCTCCTTTTTCCCCGACTTCCTAAGTGGCGACTTTTGCAGGAAGCTGAGGCATTTGTTCAAAGGCTCGCGGGGTATTATGCCGGCAGATTCTGCGTGGCTGTGTCTGATGGATTGTCCCCGTCGCTCGCATTGTGAAGGTCACTTCTTGTGAGGTGGAGCCTTGTCCCAACAGAAAGTAGAAGACAGCATGATGGGCCGCAGGTTTGCCCGCTTTTGAAAGCTCAATGGCAAGAGACGACCCTCCCCCCCCCCGTTCACTGAACTCCGCGCCTCTGCCGCGTTTGTTTGGGCCAAAGTCGCCCAATGCTTGGCGCCGCTTGCGCGGCGAGGAGAGGCAGGACATTTGGGGGGGGACATTTTAGCGGGGCGGAGCAAAGAGCAACATTGCGCTGGTGCAGACAAGCGCGGAGCAAATTCTGCGGCAACCGGTTGGCCAGTGTTCACTCAGCCTACGGACGGCGTACGTTGATGGCAACAGCAGAAGCCAATGGCGGGGAACACACAGGAAAGGGTGCTGTGGCTACAGGTGCCAGAAAAATATCGTTTACGCCCACTCTCGGCAGCTTGTAGAAGGCAGTACCTCTAGTCTCATGGATGGGCTTGAATCTACCGGAGCTTCAGCAAGGTATGCCGATGTGCTCATCGGATAGAATTATCAAAGATAATGCTATCCAGGCTGGATAGCCGACTCAGGCCAGTCAGGCGGCAAGTGTGAATCAGGTCTAGTTTCCATTCATTGAAGCACGCTGCATGTGATGCTCCACTTGCAGTTTTTGAGACTTTAAGTTTATGCTGTGATAAGCTCAAAGGGAATGTGTTGACCATGACTACTCTGCTTTGGATCTTGTCACGGTCGCAGTTGGCCCGAACCTTTATTTGAACATTTTCTCTAGCGTGTTTCCCCACCACTTTAAGTGCTTGCAATGAATTCTACCAATCGGCCGTTGTTCTTTCTTCCCCCCGGAGCCACCCAAATTTTGTGTGAGCTGTACACGCACTGGGCTGCCGGTTTGATCTGTATCCGCGGTTCTGGCCACCCTAGTAGTGTCCCATCCGCATTGCCAAAAGAAAGCGTGTCTCTTTTGCTGGGTGAGACATTCCCCATTCTTGGAGCGTCGGCGCGCAAAACAGCCTTGGCTTTTGCACCCCAATTGCTAAATGCCCATGTTGAAAACTGGGCTCGCCGAAGCAGCGATTCAGAACCTTGTCTTCTGTAGAATAGCTAACTGTTGGTCATTCAGTTCAATTAACTGCATTCCAAGCCGCCCAGAGACTGGGATAACCAGTCAACTTAGTGAGGCCAACAAACCGTTTAGGCATGGCAGCCCGGCATGGGAATTGTTTAAGGCGATCTCCACAGTGGGACGACAACGGTATTAGAGCTGGGCATCTTCAATGTGAGGTTTCCTGCAAAGCAAGCCACCCGCTCATCACAGTACGTGCGACGTCGACCTCTGAAGTCTTGGGGCATCCCTGGATCGGCCTTCTGCGACCAGGCGGCTTAATGGAGGCGGGCGGCGGGGGAGCTTTGGTTGATCGAGAGAGGTATTGAGGGTTGCTTAGAAGGGTCCGAACCAATTGTTTGAGTGCCTGAAGGATCATAGTTTTCTTGGAGTTTTGGGCGGTTTGAAGGTGGTTCAGCGGTTGTTGCCCGGATTCAGAGTCAAAGCTTGGCAAGCCGCACCTTTTGAGGATAAAACAAAGTACACGAAATCGCAGCTCTGGCTCGAGTCACGCTTGGCTCCGTGGGAAGATGCAAAAGCCGTATACGAATGACCCTTCAGAGTAAAGCAGCGCAAAATCGAGTCAGGTCAAACAGTTGTTTCAAAGAACGACGAGCGTGCAAGGGAGCAAAAGCAAAGAACATAGTGCAGATAGACAAGGACAGAAGGATAGCAATAAAGTTCAGGAGAGGTGGTGCAAGCAGACCATGTGGACCAAGCTCCTTGGAGTTATATTTTGTTTTATATCTACTACAATTGGTTTATCACTAGTATTAGTATGTTTGCTGTGATTATCCTATAGTATGATTGTTATAGTTGTTTTTTCTTTTTATCGTCATTATTGTATACATGTTTTGAACACTTACTTCCTCCAAACGGGGTGCCAGCAAGTATGTCAACAAGCTCTGCGGGTTTGTCTCGAACTTGCCCTCCATGCAGCCGATTCTGATTAGGCGAATTTTGTCTTTTGTGGAGATTTGACCGTTCCTGTCACAGGCCATTCGCAGGACCCAGCCCATACAGGAGCTTCTCTTTTTTCAAATAGGTGCAGAGATCGGTCAAGGAGTCCGCTTCCCAGCATCCGGAGAAAAAAGAAACATTTGCAGTGGCAAGCACTTGGTATTTTACCTTTGGGTTGTGTTTGGCTGGCTTCCAACCTGGTGAAGCTATTGTAATGGTCACGCGACGGGCTTGGAGCCTTGAAACATTGGAGGAATGTGCAAAGCGGACCGGGCACGATCTGCTTCCCCCCAAAATTGGAGAGCCGGTCAAACGAGAAACCTTCCTTCAATTTATTTCCACAGATTGTGTTGGTGGCTATCATGTTTGTTCCAGAAAGGAGTGAACCTTATAGGGACACGGCCAGGCATACATGACAGGATTTGGTCAAGTTTGGGTAGCTTGAGGTACCCAGGCTCCCGGCCTTTTGTTGCACTTTGGCACTGTGTCAGGCGCAGCACAGCGCTCAGGCGCTGGAATTTCTAGCGGCCGCTCGAAGTTAGTCTTGAATTCCTTCCCCTCCATGCCTTGGACGCTCTGCAAAGCAAAAGTAGGGCCGTCCGTTTGCCGGGCATTGGTTGTAGCCCTAACTTGTGCCCCATTCATGCAGGTCAAATGCAGGATGCATAGGGTAATGAGGGTACATGACAAGAGTCTACAGCCCATTGTACCCTATGCCGCCTATGTCTATGCAGGAGATCGATGGCATTGTGCAGGGGATCATCCAACAGGCGCAGTTTGTCCGAAGGGTTTCCTTGCTTTCAAGCGCACTCGGAGCAGTAGATGTAGTGCACCTTAGCTGAACTCTAGACATGGTAAACAGTCTATTTTCAGTCCCAAATAGACTGCGCGAAAGCAAACGAGTAGACGAGGCTTCGCTCTCGTCTTGAAACACCTGCAGAGAGCGCGGGTCCCGTCTTCGGGATACCGTGTGGAAGCACCGGGTTTTCATTGGGGAATTGGCGAACCCGAGATGGCGCTCGCGAGGTCTTGGGGGATGCAAAGTACAGCCCCGAACTCTCGGATCTTTGGCGCGGGCGCTCAATGCATCGCTCGAGGCGCTTCTTTTTTTCGCCGTGGACGCAAAAGTGCTTAGGGGTGTTTCTTTGGAGTGCCAGGTTGGGACTCTGGACAGAATATGCTTTCTACCCGTTGTTCGTTTTGGAGCTGCCTTGCATTCCCTCAGTTTTGGTGGCCATGTTCTGAAAAGAAGGATCCCTGGTACTAGAACAGGGCCCAACCAACTCCAATCACGAAGATGCGTTTAGTTTTGAACACTGCAAGATACCAATTTTCTTCAGCTCCACCGGAGGGGATGGAAGGGAGGAAGTGCTTGGTGTGTTGGTGGTTTCACCCCGGGCTTGTATTGAGGCAACAGCTTAAGGGGTCTTAATTACACGGTCATGAGCCTCCAGACCTCTTCCCGCGAGTTCAAGGGCCCCCGGCCTATCTGAATTTTGCTGGAGCTCCCCCTGAGAGCCATCACGACCCCCGGAAAAGGCAGTGGTTCAGAAAGAGGGTCCTCCCACAAATACGGGATTCTGCGGGGTTTCGGGGTTTTGGGAATCCTCAAACCTTGGCTTCCACGTGGATTCGGGCTGCGGGTTCCACCCGACGCCGAGGTGCGACCAGATCTTGGAGCTGAGC